AAGTGGTTTGCCCTTGCCTGCTTCCTAGGGCTGAGAGAAAGTGACTGGCCCAAGGTCACTCAGTTGACTTTGTGCCGAAGGTGGGACTAGAACTCACAGACTCCTAGCTTCTAGCCTGGTGCCTTAACCACTACACCAAACTGGCTCTCTCAAAGAGAGAAGTTTACTTATGTTAATATGATTGTATATATTTCTGAATGCAGCAGCTAGCTGGTAATCAGTGAAAGGCAGACGGATCATACAAAGCCTGTAATTTAAAAATCTGCACTGATTGGCCAATGTCACTGCATTTGGAGCTTTGCCATTAACTTTTATTGCCCTAAACAGTTTAGAGCCTATCTGAGGGTCTGCTTTCCCATTACAACCCAGCCTAGCAGTTAATTTCTGGAAGGAAGTTCCAGAATGCGATGGCATCATACGATGCCTTACTAAGCCTGTAACAGAAGCACAGTTTTCTTCTGCATCACCTCTAGGCCAGGACGTGCAATCCTTCAGGAGATTTTAGTCTCCATTCTTTGCCTTTAGAAAAATAGCCAAGATGCATTTATTTTGCCAGGCTTTTAATCATTAATTAATTTTGGCAAAAGTTTATATATATTTTTAATGAGTTTCATTCTGTATTTTAATCTTAAAATGTCTTAAAATGGAGATGCCAGGGTTTAATGTAAGCCCTTTGGTCTGCAAATATGGTGCTCAAGTCAGCTACAAGCCCCACATTCTTATCATATCCACTGCTTACTTATATTGGAGGGGGGAAATTCTACCTTTGGAATCTTTGACTCACTTAAGCCCTGTGAAGATAATAGAAGTTCTAGTTTTTGGAACTCAGGTTTTCCATTGAACAACAAAGAAGCTTGTAATTGCTTCAGAATTATTGTAAGCCCTGTATTATTCTACACATTGCAGTTAGATAGGCAATTTTGTGTCAGGATAAATTCTCCTAACAAAACCTATTAACAGTTCTAATTTACTTATTAAATTACACTTTCATTGAATCAGCTTTGCATCTTGTGTATTGTCAGACTGAATTTGTGCGTGAATGGGAGCTGCATAGAGATGCTAAGAAATGCATCATCTTTTTATTCTTGTTCTCCTCACATAGAGATTGAAAGAGCTCAAACAAAGGGAATTCGCACGAAATGTGGCTTCAAAATCCTGGAAGGATGAAAAGAAACAGGAGAAAGCTCTCAAACGACTTCATCAGTTGGCTGAATTGCGGAAGCAGTCAGAATGGTGCGTCTTTGGAACTAATATTACATTTTAATCTTGCCTTTTTTTCCCTGATAGTCCCAGGAGAAATCTCCATAGCTTTACTTCTACTTTATATAATGCAGAGATCATAAACACATATTCTGCAAACCGTGTTTTTTCTTTATCCTTCATGCCAACATCCTTATTGTACAAACAATAAAATTGAAGCCTTGCAATAATTCCTTGGCATTTGAATGTTGGACTTTTTACCCTCTTTCTAATCTCTATGAAATTACTTTAACAGTGCTGTGATGAATTTTTCAGAGTAAACATTTTCAATGCCATAAATAAATAAATAAATAAATAAATAAAAAGTGTCACACCAAATGCTTCCTCTCCCACAATAAATTGTTTTACCCTTCCTGTCCCTGTTTGCTGCCACACCCAATAAATGTTTTTGTTTTTGTTTTTTAAACTTCTTGCTTTCTTATCCAGGCAAGGATCATCTCTGTGGTGAGATGTTGCAGTATCACATAAGCTAATCAGATTTGACTATGTTGTGGTAACAGTGACAAGCCCAGATCTTCCATTGCTTAGGGATGGGTAAAAATTTAATTCAGTTCCTTTTTATAAAGGTTTTTAGAAACAGCATCATCTTCATAAATGGGATGGAAAGAAAAACTTAACCATTTCGAATGCTGGATAAAATTAAACTGATATAGTCCTCCAAAGTGGCAGACAGTTTTGAATTTTTCACTCTTACATTACCTTTGCACTTGTCAGTATTTGTGGTGCTGAATTCACATTGCTAATTTCCTGCCAGTCTAGAAATCTTTAATAGCTACATGGCAGACGGCAACAATGTGGTCCTATCCATGCTGAAAACATCTGATTTGAACCAGTGAGGATTAATTAAAATTTTGTTTGTTAAGATCTTATCAATTTTTATAAATTTCTTCAAAGGAACAGAATTTTTTTTTTAAATGCTGATTGTTGAAGAAAATCAAACCAAATCATTTTTACTGAAAATGTAGAGGAAGGAGGGAATACATTGGGCCATCTTGTCTTCTTCTCATGCTGTACTCTTTGTCATGATACATGGCCATAGCACTTTCACTGCCCATCCAAGTAGCTCAGCTTGGTAAGAAGCACTGGACATGCCATTTCAGCAGTGGGATGGTACATTATAAGCATTTATTAAGACAAACCAATGGCCATCATATCTCCTGCTGTCTAATCCAGGCTTTCCAAAGCTGATGTTCTCCAGACGTCTTTTAGTATGATTCCCAACAGTCATAGCCAATATACCTGTGATGAGGTGAAGGTGACAGAGGGTGTAGTTTCATACATGTGAAGGGCACCATGTTGGGAAAACTTATGTATATTAATAAATAGTGATTATTTCTAGCCATGAGAAATTTAACTGGAGATTGTAAGAGAGGAATCCAAGAGGTCATATGTGCAAAACACATTTTCTACAACAAAATCAGTGCTGACTGTTAAATGTTGAATTACAGACCTGATACAAACCTGATACAAAGATTCTTTTTTTCCATAAGCAGAATTTCTGCAAGGGTTCAGCCTCCTAGGTCACTAGTATTTAAGATACGGTTGGAGCTGTTCCCAATACTGTAATGAAAGGCAAGCCCTTGTCAGTAAAAGCAGACAGTATAAAACAGTGTGGATTTTCATTGATTTGCACATTTCTTTTCTGGACACAGCTTTACTAACGCTATGCATGCCTGTAGTTCAGCTTACTGGGCTGCACATCATATATATAAACCACTTCAGGCTTCACAGAATACAGTGTTCATTAACTACCTCACATGGAATGGGATCAAGGACATCATGTTTATGTTGAGTGAGATCAATTCAGCAGGTTATTACTACATTCCTTCCAATGCCAATTGGTCCTGATGGTGATGAATTTCATTTCATCATCCTAACTACTCAGGCTTATACTTTCTAACAGGGTATGCTGAAAATTAAATTCATTTTAACTTAAGTAGTTTTATTATATCATTTATTTCTAGTGTTGCCGGATGCAGACCCATGTTTAAAAGTCCCCAGGTAGTTGTAGAACAACCACAGCAACGAGCGCAAGAAACATTTCTCTTAGCTCAAGAGGGGAAGGCCAAGACTGCAGCCGAAGGGCAAAGTTCCACCAGCAACAATTCCGAAAAACTACAGGAACCCTTGTTAAACAAGGATCAGTCGTGCATAGAGAGACACCATTTGCTTAGAAATCATCTCTCTCCAGCATTCTCCTGCAGCACCAATGCTTGTAACAGGACAGGGGTATCTTTTTCCTTCTCTAAAAAGGTCCACTTGAAGCTTGAGTCATCAGCATCTGTGTTCAGTGAGAATGTGGAAGAAGCATATGACTGCAATGGATCACCAAGGCAAAACGTGAAACAAACTGCTGAGGAATGCTACACTTGCATACATATGAGTGGCAAGAGGAAAACTAATGTGCAAAAACGATTAAGCACACTTCAGAGCCACCAAGGCAGCATTGAATCATGCAACATGGCTGGAAAAAATAAACCACAGAAAGAAAATGACCAAAACAGCAACAGAGGATCAGTGGAAACTCATCTTCCATTTCATAAGGATAAACAACATTCTCCAGATTCGGAATGTGCCAGGTCTCCAGATATAAAAGCAAGACACCTAGTCAAGACTCAGAAATCCATACAAAGTTTTATCACATCTCAGTGCCAAACTAGCAGTGTTTGTATACAACAAAAAGCTTACAAGCACAGCAACATCCTGCTAGCAGAGTGTGTCTCCGAGTTCTCAGGCCAACAGTCACCTGAAGGAGGACATTCGTGTGAGTTGAACTTTAATCCCTGTATATTCAAACACTCTTCTGATTCTTCAAAAACTGTGACTGCAGTCAATGAAACATCAAAAGGTGACGATCTGGTTCATGAAATTAAGCCTAAAACACTGCCTTTTCTTCATGTACTGAGTAAAGATGGCAGCACAGCCTTACACTGGCCCATGGAACTTCTTTTGTTTACAAAAACAGAACCTTCTATTTCTTATGGCTGCAATCCATTATATTTTGACTTTAGACTTCCCTTATCCCATAAAGACAATGGGCAGCATGAAGTCAATCCAGAACTTTCTAAAGAGTATTCAAGAACTATGGACATAGATGGAAAGGAAGCCTCGGGTCTAGCCAAGAAGAAGCAATTGTCCAGTGGAAAAGATAACTTTTTAAAGCCAAAGAAGAACAGAGCTCTGTATTTCAAAAGGTCCCAGCCAAAATTATATACAGACAAAGAAAACAAAATTAATTACAGTGCTCCAAAATACATTTCAGACAATTTGAATGAAAATATACCTAACGTGCCTGCTCACCTTGATTGCTCGCAAAGGCATTGTGCAATAGCAACAAGTCCCCATACAGCAATGTGTGTGAGATCTTTAGCACAGCATTTTCAGAACTGTGAAACAACAGTACAGGATGAAGTCAATGAAAATGTTTGTATTTATCCCTTGGCGTCCAGGATGAAAAAGCAAAAATGTGGAAAGTGTGATTTGATGTATTCCCAGAGACAAACCAATCTGGATTTGGTCACCTGTACAAGTGACATAAGTGAAAGTGGAAAAGATACAATTCTTGGTTGTAAGTTAGACTGCCCTGGTGAGTGCTTGGAAAAGGAAAGCAATGTGAGTTTTGCCAGTGAATTTTGGAGATTCTGTCCTTTGCAAAAACCCTGGTCTGACAGACAGTCGAATTATTCTGACACCTCCATCAATAGTGAAACTAGCAACACAAGTTGCTATTGTAATCACAGATCAAGCAATCACAGTAGAAGTAATTTGCCTTTTTGTTGCAAAAGGAAACAAAAGTCAGTTGGAAGACAGAAATGTAAACACAAAAAGCACAACTGCCTTTCATCTTCTGATGAAGCAAATGTGGACTGCCTTGTCCACAAAAAAAGTCAGCGACCTACAGATTGTACTCAGAGGCATCCAATAAAATATCAGAGACTTTTGAGATATGGGCACTTGCTACAAAGAGACACAGCAAAGCAAAGTAGAAATAGATATCCTGTCTGTAAACACAGCAGGAGCAGGAGGTACAACAGCTCCAAAGGTTCTTCCATCCACGATTCAGGGAGCAGTGAAAGATCGTCAAGTTCCACTCGATCTAGAGATAGCAGTTCGGGATCCTTCATGAAAGAATCAGTGCACATCTGGGACAAACATAAAGAGGCTATGCGAAGCAGCGAAGAAGAAAAATCCTGCTCTGCCCATTCAGACAGCCAGAATGTGACTTGTGCCTCTAAGCATACTGGAATTTACTCTGTAAACTGGTTAGAAAAGGAAGCAGTGGGACAGAAGAAGTCATTAACTGCCAAGTTACTTTTACAAAAGGTGAAATCCAAAAGAAGCCAGGAGCAAACTGAAAGCACTGAGAGCTTTTCGAAAGCTTGCAGGATAGATGTCCCCTGTAGTCAGCCTGGCACATCTTCCATGGAGAGTGAAGCAATACTACCTTCACGGGAGAAAACACTCAATGTTGATATGAACTGTGTGTGGAACCATGAAACTGGCAAAGTGGAAAACCACACAAGCAAACTTTTGACCATAGATAATATTATGGGTAACACTAGCTACAGTAATTGCCTGCTCCAAGACTTAATTCAAAGAGGAACCAACTGCCAAACCCTAAATATGGAAGCAAGCACAGCAATAAAGGAGAAGCCAGATCTCTTAACTGGTGAAACACAACCCCTTCTGCAAAGCTGTGATCCAGTGGCAGGTGATTTTCCTGGTGCTTTTGTTTCTCATAGATATTCTCTTACTCCAAATTTAACAGAGACCAAAGAAGAATACAATGCAAGGATGGACTTGCATCAAGCAGAAGGAAATCTAAACTATTACCCTGACAATGCTATGCATAAATCCAGTGAAACAGAATACAAGACTGAACTTTTTAGTAAGTGCATCTCCTCTCCTTTAACACAACAGCCTATAACATTTTCCCCCGATGAAATAGATAAATACAAGTTTCTACAGCTACAGGCCCAGCAACACATGCAGAAACAGCTTGTAGCGAAGCATCTCAAGGTCCTGTCTAGTACTGGACCAGCCGCTTTCTCCGCACCCCCGGCAGTTCAGTCTGTTCCGGTCCAGCAGCACACTTCTGTAGCCACCCTCCACCAAACGTTTTTGCAAAGCTTTGCTTTGTCCACGGGGGTTCATCCACATAGCAGCCATCTTTCCCTGACCCATATACATCCATTCTCACAGTCTCATCTTGCTCCAATATCGCTTTCGCCATTTGCTTCAACCTTCCTGCCTACTCACTCAGCGCTATTGTCAGGTCATCCATTCCATTTGGTATCAGCAACTCCTATTCACCCTGCTGCCCAGCTGGCAATCCCATCGTTGCCCCACGCTGCCTTTATTCCTACTTTGTTCACGCCACAGCTGAATGCAGCTGCATCTTCCACAATGCATTTCAATCCTTTAATTCATCCAGTATTCCAGGGACAGAAACTTCCACATCATTCTTGAACATGGCATGGGCATTGGTTATCCGAACTGAGGAAGAAAAGTAAGTTAAAAAAATATTTTAAATAGCAAGGTCACTGTCCTACATCCCAAAAATCAATTTGGAGTGGAAACTCCCATATAGAAGTATAATTGTTTTCTGTATGAGAAGTCATGGTTTATATACTCCAAATATATCAAGAATGCTGAGCAAAATCAAAGTTGGGCTGACACAGCACATAAATTTTATCATTAAACTGTTGAGAAGAGAGTTATCTATCACAAAGCCATGTCTATTCCTTACTACAATCCTTTGCAATTTGCCATCGTCCAGATGTAATTCGACTGCAACTTGCAGAATTCTCAGCCAGCACAGCCAACCTACTTGGAAGGTGCCTGATTAGGGAGTGTTGTCTGACAACTCTTGTTAAGGTTCAGCATGGTCTTTACTCTATAGTAGAATATACATTTTCAAAAAAGGATGCATGCAAGAAGTACATAAGCTCTTGGAGTACATAAACCCCCAATTCTCCCATCATCCCGCCATTAAAGTTTGGCAGAAAATAACTGATTTTAAGCAATGCAATTTTTTCTTGTTCTTTAAAAAATGCAATAAAAATGAAATAAGCCCCCAACTCTCCCCAGAAATTCAGGCTGAAAATTTTGGCCCCACTCCCTCAGGGACAAGATTGCATCAGTGCTATTGCATCACCATTCCTTGGAGATCCGGAGGAGGAGGAGGAGGAGGAGGAGGAGGATGTGTGGTCCCCAGCCTAAAAATGCTGCCTCCCTCTGCCATATGCTTTGCATTAAAAAATAAAAAAATAAAGACACCTTCAAGGCAAGCTTCACTTCTGGTGATTGCATGGACATAATTATCAGATTTTTTGGACAGAAATATAGAAGCATTTCCCCATCGCCTTCCTCCAGGATGTTGTTTTATCTTACACTTCTGACATTTCCTGTAAGTCTGTCATCCAACCACTAACTCGGCTAGTAGCAACTATGAGGGACAAGCAGGGGTTAGAGTGACACAAATGGCGTTGCCACAGTGCAAGCCCTGGCCCCTTTTCCATGCTTCATGACATTGCGCACATACGTATCTCAAAGGAGAAGAATTTGCTTGTGGATACTGCTGAACAAGGCCCAGCTCGGCTTAGCTTCTAAGGCCAGAAAGATCACCAAGGTGCTTCCAGGGACACTGTATCACTAGTGGCCTTGTATGCTAAAAGCAACATCCATTTTTTTCTTGTCTAGAAAGGTTCATAATCACTGAATCAGGATAAGCAGCCTATGAATATAATTAAATTACAAATGTACATTAAAATTACAAATGAATGCACAGATCGTTGAACTAAGCCACACTTACTCCCAAACTGTACTGAGGTTTTTCTTCCCCAATTCCTAGTTTCTAATACATACTTTAAAAAGATTCTGTTGATCAAGATTTGTGAGACTTGTACCCACTAAAAATCCACTAAATTATAATATATATAAATCATTACATTTGCTATTTTGGTAGGTTTGCATTTCTTTCAACTTGAGGCTGTACATATGACTATATATCCTTGAAAGTATTCAGTAAATTCAACTGAATTGATTTTTAAATTATTTGGTTCGGGATGTTGATAAGGATAGATATTAGAAATCACCCCAACAGATATAAGAGGGAAAGTGGAATTATTTGGTAGTTTTGTTACAAAATATTTTTCAGTATCGGTAAGATCCAAAATTAGGCAATGCATATTTTTAAACAGATCCAAAGCTGGTTTATGACACCAAATGACAAAATTTAGTCCTATACATTTCACAATTCCTTTTACTTAGAATATCCATTATAAGCCATTATTTGTCCAGCTTATAAATGGGAAATTTAAACCATAAAGTGATTGAGGACATCCCACTTCCCACTACGTATATCTCCCTTCTCTCATGTTCTAATTTAACAATTAGAAGATTGAATGCACATTCAGCTATCCAAGCCATCTTGTGTTCTGCACATGCTGAAAACCTAGATCCTGATGCAAAGTGCAATTCCATGCTGATCTCATCACAGGTTGGTAGAAAATAATTGCTTTGTAGTGACACAGAAGTGATTAGATGAAGCTAACCAATCAACTATAATTGTTTTCCTGTTAAAGCATCTATGTAAAATTCTGAACACAGCTATTTGTTAGTCAGTTTTACAAAAATAAAAATAAAAAATAAAAATCATAAATATGCCACCCGATTCATTTTTCAAGTATTTCATTTCTATCAAAACTAAACAATTTTCTGGCTAATATTCTGTATAATTATTCTGTTTTGTATTCTCTGTAAAAAGTGTTTTATATTATACAGTAGCTAAGTGAATTGCACTATTAAACATGAGATGCAGCTTTTTTTTTTAGTTAATTCGAGTTTTCTTGGGAATGTAGTTTTATGCAATAATGTTTTTCAATAAAAAAACTTAATAGCATAAAGAGTGTCTGTTATGCATTTTTAAATATCATATGAAAAGATGGGATAGATACCCTGTATTTTAATCCATAGGACTGAAATGCATCTTATTTATCCAAACTGTAGTGTTGATTTTTAAGGCTATTTCTTTAATAACAATAACAATAATAATAATAATAGCATGTGTTACTAGAGTTGCTTAAATATTTCTATAAATATTCTTTTTTAAATATATATACATATATATCATTGATGTGTTGTATATATACATCACACACATATACTATTTATTTATTTATTTATTTATTTATTTATTTATTTATTTATTTATTTATTTATCAGATTTGTCACCACCATCTCACTGAAATGACTCTGGGCAGTTTACAGCAGATATAAAATTCATTAAAATGCAACATAAAAACAGTCTTAAAAATAAATAGGTTCCAAGAAAGATGGAGAGTTGGCGAGTAATTCCAGGGAGCGTCAGGGGCCTAACCACCCCCAAGGATGGGTAGAGCCCATATCACCCCATGCACACTGACAGAGTCAGGTCTTTAAACCTTTACAGAAACCCGGGAGGGTAGGGACTCCTCTGGGGGAGAATATTTCAAAGGGTGGGGGCAACAGCAGAGAAGGCTCTTCCTGGGCCCCACCAACCAACATTCTCTTGCTGACAGGATCCACAACATGCCCTCTCTGCCTGACCGGGTGGGATGGGTTGATGTAACATGTCATTATCCAGACTTCACATGCTGTCTATTAATTTCTGCATGAACAAAACCAAAATAAATGGCAAAATCAATGCATTATCCTTTCATAGATCCCTGTGGTAAAATCGCTCTCTTAGTAATTATAAAAGTGTCAGAAATGGTCCAAAAGCTGAGAAAACCCAGACTTGAAGGACAACCCTGTGCTCTGTGTTCTGTAAAACAGGGGTGGGGTGTGTGACCTCAAGCTCTAGGGTGCATGCATTCCTAAAAACGCATTGCAAAATGGCTTCTCCTGTTTTCAAGTGGGAAAACTCAGCATATTGCATCATTACTCCCATGCCATTGGCTACAAAAAGTC